GGTTACCAATCATTGTATTTTGATGTTTTTATACCACTTTTATCTGATGGTCACAAATATCGGTTGACAATTATACAGAAATTAACTAATTTTATATATAACAAATAAAAATTTAAGAAAAAGAACCAAGTATAAATTAGACACTTCTAATTGAGTAATGCTGGCAGTAATTTCTCTTTTTTGAATAAAAATCATAATAACTATATGAAAGATCTGGTTACCAATCATTGTATTTTGATGTTTTTATACCACTTTTATCTGATGGTCACAAATATCGGTTGACAATTATACAGAAATTAACTAATTTTATATATAACAAAAAAAATTATGAAAAAGAACCAAGTATAAATTAGACACTTCTAATTGAGAAATGCTGGCAGTAATTTCTCTTTTTTGAATAAAAATCATAATAACTATTTACATGATGTTATGATGTTAGAATAATTAATCAGTTGTGTGATTTTGTGAGAGAAGTATTAAAAAAAAAGCTGAACTGAGTATACATAGAGCATTATGGACTGGAAGTTGTATTATACCTTGTTTTTGAATGCTTAGATATAATAATTTTAACTAAGCTATTAAGCAAAACCTAACAAATGGATTAAGGAATTGTAACTAATAACTCTTAATTCTTTTTACTTTCACATGCATGCCCATATTTTGAAATCTCTTAAATAATGGAACTAAGTATAAATATAACACTTATGAATTTTTGGTTGGAACAGAAATGAAATGTGTATAAATATTGCAAGACACTTTTTTTATCCAGCAAACTGATATTCATATAGACATCAGTTTCAGCTTCTCCCATAAAGGATCACATCCATTTAAACTAACTTTTGGTGTACTATACTTTATTAAAATTGTTTTCAGGAAGGAAAAAAAAAAAAGGTCAACTTACATGTACTCCATATCCTTTGGGGTATCATCTCGTGATATTCCAATAAGAACACATAATCCTCTCCCAATTGAGCTCACCACCTCATTATTCACTAAAAGAAAGAGAAAAAAATATATATATGTATTCGTCTGAATAATCTACAAAAATAGTACATCTCAAAAGTAAAATATAAAATGAACACTTGTGCACTGATGTTTCAAGTGTAGCTTTTGTTTGACTTTTGTAACATAAAATGCATTTTACTTTTTTTTTTCTCATTTACTAAAAACAAACATGTTTTAAGTTTATTTCATAAATTATCTTGGTACAATAAAAAAGAATATCTGTTAGCAATCAGTATTTAATTTTCTTTTTTTTTATATTCAGTGATAAATTTTATGTTAAGCTATTTACTTTTTATTTTGATTTACTGTTTATTGTTATACTTGTTATAAAGACCAATTTGCATTGTTAACTTAATATATGCATTTAGGACTAACCAAAATCTCTTAAGTTGGCTAAGTCTTGTGAGATATTATTGGGATTATGTCTGAAAATATCATTAATAGCAAGGGTACCCAACTGATGAAACAATACACTCTAATCATTATAAGTAAAAACTTAAAAAAAAAAAGTAAGTGTATATTTAACCATTGACTGTTGATTCACCATATAGGGTATGGTCCACCTCTGGCAGTTATAAGCGAGTGTGCTGTATGCGGTGTAAGGCTTGCAAAAAATCTGCACTTGTTTGGAGCAGCCGCAGTCAATGGGTTAATTAGCTATACTGATGGCCAGGTTGAATTTAAATAGCTTTCTATGATAAGAAGTTAATATTAACTATTATTTGTGCTACGATTTCCTTATAATATTACAACAAAATTATTTTAATAAAATAATAAATACTGTACATATACAAACCTGAACTCTAGAGAGTATGATGGATATATGATAATCAAGATGCTCTATTTTTACAAACATAAATAATCATACATAATTATAGAGATTGGGTTGAACAAACTTATCTATGCACTTTAAGTCATCAAAGTAATGTATAAATTATAAAAAAAGATTTATATATAATGTTGAAATAACTCTTTCATATTTATATAAATAACTCTTAAAGAGAGTTTAAGTCATTACTATCATCCATTAAAGAACAGGCACAGTTGACCAAGATCCCATGAGAATATTTGGACGTGTACATCTGAAAATAATGATTAAAAATTAGGGTACAACCACTATATTAATCCATTTATAGCTAGAGTAAATGGCAGTTCTAAGTTTAAGTGTAAAAGTTAACAATTCATTATTTCAATACACTCCTGTTCCTTTCCTTACCAATATGTTAACTTTTTTTAGGATGTATAAATTATGAAAAGGGTGTGAACTTGGTGTACTTAAATTTTCAAAGGATTTTTGATAATGTGCCATACAGAAGATTAGCTAAGAAATTCAAATCATTGGGGGCAATTTGAAACAATAGTTAATTGGATCTATTGGTGGTTGGGTGATAGAGACCAAAAGCCTGTTATTAATGGACCTTTATTATTACTAGTGTCTCAGAGATCAGTGTTTGGACCTTTTGTATTTGTATTTACATTAATAGGAGCATAAACAGTGGAGTTTGCTGATGACATTAAACTCTTAGTTTATTTCTACAAGCTGTATTGAGTATGTTGTGGTATTACAGAAGCCTTGGATCAATTGGTGAATTGGATAAATAGTTGGCAAATGACCTTTAATTATAATAACTGCAAGGTTATTCATGTTTGAGTCATCATCATTTCATTCACACATTTAATATAGATGAGAAACTGCTCATAACTGATGAAAAAGATCTTGAAATAATGATGCAAAAGTCACTCTAGCCACCAATACAGTACTCTTTTACTAATAATAACGTTAAACTTATAGAGTGTATCAATTATATACTTAATGATTTCACATCAAAACAGGGAAAATTATTATTTCTATAAAAATTACCAGTTAGGACTCGGACTACTGTGTACAGTGTTGATCTTCTTACCTAAAACAGGTTACTGACTTATTGGAGAGTCCAGAGGAGGGTTACTAGGATTATTTTGGAGATAGAAAATTTGTTTTATAGGAAGAAGCTATTACAAGAATTTATGAAAGTACAGAAGAATGTAATTTATGTAAACTGCACATTATATCCAGTACCAATAAGGCCTTTCACTCAACATAGGGATCATCTGGCTAACACGATACAACATAGTAGAATTATTTGAACTGTTTTGGTGTGAAATAGATTAAGTTGGTGAACTGTAATTTTCACTGTTCTCACTTAACTCGTTAAACATCTGAATTAGGTTTATGGTTTTTTTAATAACATCAAATTATTAATTTATTTTAACTACAAGTTGTTTGTTATTGTTATTACTAATTTATTTCACTTTGAAGTAACTTTACTTATCATTCAGAACAACTAGTGAAACAGTAAGCTAATGTTTTTGTTTCTGAAGCAGGTAATGTGACTACAGCATTAAGGGGAGAAGCTTACATTGGTAATTAAAAGGACTTATGAAAGTAAAGACAAATGTTTACATCTAATATGATCTTAACATTTTGTGCTTGAAAAAGGAAGGGTAAAAGGTGATTTTATTGAAGCTTAGAGGTTTATCCTGGGGATTGATAGAATAAAGGCCTCTGATGTCTTTGAGCTATGTTCTGAAGACAGAAGGCCAACAGGAAACAAATGTAAGATTTGGAAAAGACAGGCTAGGTTCCAGTTATTTTTATAACATAATGATTGACATATGGAATAAGTTTTCTTCAGTAGTGCAGGCCAGCACTTTATATGAATTTAAGCAGGTAATCTGAAACATACAGGGTCGTTGTGTAAGGACAGCCTTTAGGAATCAAACAGCCTTTTGATATCCACATTTTAAGCTTTAATAGAATGTTATGACAGACTTATAAAAACATTGATTGCAAGTCAAAGGAAAAACAGTAACTTTCTCTTACATAAATCACTAGTTAAGCCTTGCATAAAATATTCTGTACACTTTTGTCTCCTCAAAGGAAGTATTCAAAGAAGTGCTACCAGAATGACACTGGGGGAAAAAGGGTCATCTCACAGGAAAAATTAAGATCTATTAGCATATTTTCTCTTGATAAAAAAAAGGGATGAAAGGTAATCTTATTAAAGTTTAAAAGATTAAATGGGAGATCAACAATATAAAGACACAACTTTTTATTTTTACATAATTCTGAAAATAACAGGATGAGAAGACAGACATTTAAGACAGTTTTATTTTTACAGGGTGATTAGCTTATGGAAGAAGTTTTAGTATAACTACACAAGTAGTATTGAAGACTGGTACTTTAAACTTTCAAAAGAGTTTAAGAGGAGAGTTGATTAAGCATTTTCTGAAAAATAAAGGGTGTGTTTAACATTTACTTTTCTTTTCTTGGGATGGGTGTGCTAGAACAGCCTTGGAAGACCAAATAGTCCCTTGATGTCCACTTTCTCAGTTATAGTTGATAAGTTGTACATTTATAAGTTGGGAGAAAAAGTTAAGAAATGCCTTGAAAACAGGCAAAGAATATTATCAAATAACCATTTTTGTTATAGATGGCTTTTTTAGGGCCATTCTTCTTCATTATTCATGTTAAATTTGATGGGTTTTTTTAGCTAGTGATATCTCTAAATTTGCTCATACTAAATACTGTGAAAAGCTAATTGTGTTGAAAATACTTCTTACTATCTAAAAGTATCTCAGCAGTTTTAGTGAATGAGCAAAAACATGGAAGAAGAATCTTAATATTCAGAAATGTAAAGTTATGTATTTTGGGTACGAGTTTTGGGTTTTGTTTCTGGAGTACTGAAGAAATAGGACCTGATTCAGGTGTTTAATCTTAAGAGTTGCCTGGTTTAATTGGTGCAATAAAAAGTTTGGAAATTGTCTTCTTTCGAAACCTAGGTTCAAGTTAGTTCTTAGAATAATTTTTTGGGAAGAACCAGAGGTAAAAACTTATAGAATGTACTATTAGTTTGGATTCTTTAATATTCTGTTGGATAGGTATGGATATAAAGGACTATATTTAATTGTTTTAAAAAATGTAAAAGAAATTAATTTTTTATGATTGTTGTTTTATTAATTTATTTTTTGGTAAAAATAGTTTTGATATGACTTTCTGTCACCCTGTTCTGTGTTTATAAGTAGCTGTTTAGTATCAGAATATTTGCATACAGCCCATCAAAAATGATGGGGCAAGTACTACCATCCCATAGTATACCTTAACCTCATATTTCGTAGCTAACTGAAATAAATAAATTTTGCAAAATAAAGCTTGACTAACAAAAAGGCAGAAAAGTACAGTCAAATGTCAGTAAATTTCTTTGTGAGCCAATCAAAATTAAGATCATTCATGAAATGAATTTGTCGCATATTCATAAAATAATTAATGGTAAAAATCAGTTAGATTAACCACTTCTAATACTAAGAAAAGCCAGTGCATTTTGGTAAAACTAAGTTCCAACAATGGCTTTTATAGCAACAAAAGTATAACCTAATATTTGTTGTTAGTTTATGTATTGAAAGTATAAAATGAAATGTAGAGACTTTAAAACTGTTGATTTCTTAATTTATAGTCCCCATTGATTAAATAGGTTTGTTTTTTATGAAAAACATTGGTGATATAACAGAAAATAGCTTAATTCAGAAATAATTTAAGTTAAAAATTGAATCAATATTTTTACTTTCATGAAAAATTGTACGCATTTGGCTTTAGGCTAGATGATCTCACACATCTTTACTTTAGGCTTATTATACCAACATTCACTACACTTATAAGGTTTCATGGCTCCCTTGCACCTCCCATCACTAAAATCATAATGGGCAAACAGTAATCAAATTATTCTTTCTGGATAAATGCATTTTGGCTTTATGACTCCTCCCATTTCAAGAAATGAAGCATGATGTGACATACAACAGCTTTTGTATAGGCTAGATTATGACTGGTAATCAGTGAAACATGCAATCATATTCTTAGTGACTGTGTAGTAGTTACTATTATAACACACACACTACTTTCCTATATGTGCTAAGAAGTAATGCAACTACACAAGCAAAGGGCTAAACTTCTTAGAGAAGTACCATCTTGTATTTTAATTATAAACTGTTTAAACTCAACTTAAGAAAATAGAGATTAGAGTTTGGATTTCAGGTAACTCAATTGTGACAAAATTGTTTCCTTAGAAATACATAAATATTATAATATGTAAGGGGTTTGAAGTTATAATCAAAGGCTGGTAGTCATGGTAAATATGATGTTATTTGCAATGTATGCATTTTATTAAACGTGCATATATATATATATATATATAGAGAGAGAGAGAGAGAA